GGATTCCACATTAGAATGTACCAATTAGTCAGTTTTTTCCAGTGCCATGAATTTGCTTTTCTAAGAAAATTCAAATAAACCTTTCACCGTGTTTGATAGCCTCTCATTTAATTCCTAGAGTTTCAAACATATAAACTTTGCTAATTTGCGTGTTGCCCCATACTTGTTGTTGACTAACAGCCTTAGTGGCTCGCCTTCTTTGTGTATCTTCCGTAATCCGTTTGCTGTTGGTGGTCGTATATCCTTTATTATGATTGACCTTTCTGTGACCTTAAGGGACCCTAGCACTCGAATAAGGTTAATGAGTATCTCCACCAGTCTTCTATTGAGAAACTAAGTGAGACCTATGATACAGAATAGAATAAGTTGTTTAAGGTTATTGATATTAAGTCAAAGCTCTTGCGTGATTTGGCTAGGATCCAGTCTCCGGAAGATTTTTAAAAACTCCAGAGCCTGACAGACACAAAATCACGTAGGATTTCTGACTTTATAACAAAGCGGCATGACGATAAATTGCGTAAGTTTCGGATTATAAAACAGCCTAAGTTAAATCCAGTACGCCCAGTTGAAGTGTCTTCCGAGGCGACAACAACTACTGATCAGCACGAGGATAAGAAGACAGTATTAAACTTAACATCAATTCCTCTCAATCCCGAAACAACTGCATTCCTGGAAAAATGACTCAGTTATTCAATTCAACATAACAGAAGCCTTCTAGGAGACATCCTGGTGGAGGTTATCAATATCGCAGACAAGTTCTCTGACGAGACAAAACGGGAAATGGAGATGAAACTAATTCCAAAGATCTTGACACATCAGGAGCATACACAAAGGAACAGATGTGCAGTGATACGCAAAACCCTGGAAACGAATAAACAATTATTCCTTTAGGTGGACAAAGGAGGAGCTACAGTTATAATGGACAAAAAACAGTATACCGAGAAGATGGAACATATTCTACGAGACAGGACTTCATTACGTATACTAAACAAGGATCCAACTATGAAGATCAATGGAAGCTTAAGTAACATGCTGAAAGGTATGCATATAAACGGGGAAATTGACGCACGGACAAGAAATTCAATTATAAGAAAGGATGCACGACTATTAAAAGCCTACGAATTACAGAAGATACACAAAGAAGGCGAGCCACTAAGGCTGATAGCCAACAACAAGTATGGAGCAACATACAAATTAGCAAAGTTTATATGTCTGAAAATCAAGAAATTAAATGATAGACTATTGAAACACGGTGAAACATTGATATGAATTTTCTCAGAAAAAAAATCATGGCACTGGAAGTAACTGACTTATTGGTAACTTTCGATGTGGAATTCATGTATAAAAATATCTCTGGAGAAAATGCGCTCACAGACCTGCTGGAGATCCTGGCCCTGAGGGAGGATATCCTTGAATCACAAGGGGTCGTTAGGGAGTCATTAACAAAACTAATCAATTTGACAATAATGGCAACCTATTTTACATTCAACAGGAACATCTTTGAACAAATATTTGGACTTCCCATGGGATCGCCGCTCTCACCACTTTTGGCAAACATATACGTGAACAAAATAGAAGAGACCTTCAAGATGGCACCGCTACAACCGGCAGTTCTTATGCGGTACTTGGATGATTACTTCGCACTTTGGTCACATGGAAGACAAAAATTGAAAGAGTTTCTGAAGTTTGTAAACCAGAATGATCAAAAAATTTAATTCACGATGGAAGTGGAGGAAGATGAGCGGTTTCCGTTCCTGGACGTTGAAGTGATTCGCTCTGACGGAACGCTCAAAAAGAAATTGTTTAGGAAGAAGTCCTATGCTGGGATAATACTCAATTTCCGGTCCCATCACAATTGCAGGCTAAAGATTGAAATAATAAGGAGCATGAGCCTCCGAAGCATACGCTTAACGGATGTAGAATTATGGGACGAGGAGTTGGCAAAATTGACGAGGATATTCTTTGGCACTGGCTACACAAGCGAAGTGCTACAAAGGAATATGCGGGCCGTGAAAAGTCGCTGGCAGAACAGGGAATATGAAAGGACAGAAAGGACGATGAAGGATTCACAAAAGTGCATATGTCTACCTTCCTGCGGA